GGGCTGGGGGGCCCCGGCTTGGCCGAGCTCAGCCGTTGCCCCCGTCTCCGCAGGGCCCGCCGCGCGCGGTCAGGAGGAGCGTCCTTGCGGTCCCCCTAAGGCCAGGTGAGGACTCGCTCGCGTGTGCCCTGAGCGCCCGGGAAGAGCGGCCCGCGCTCCCGCCCCCCCCCGCTTGGCACCAAAGTGCTCAGTTCCCGGCACCTGCCCGGGCTGAGGAGGGGCCAGCCCAAGATTGAAAGCCGGGTGTCTGGGACCCACGGCTTGGAGGGGGCGCGTGCACGTACGGCAGAGGGGAACGCTGTGCGAGAAAGAAGGGTGCTTTGTGAGCCCGCTCCAGGCCTGCTTTTTTGCCGTCCGCAAGGCCCGTAATGCTCTGATTTGATGAGACTCACACTCCCACAGCTAAAATGTATTTTTGTGTATTCTGTTCCATCTTTAAATCAATGAGAGTGAAAAACAAGCTGTTGGAAGAGCTCTTTGAGCCAATATCCCGAGTTTATCCCGGTTCTGTCTCTGCGCGGGTGTGGAATACATCGCAGAGTATTCTTGTGTAAAAGGCATGAGGTGGTTACGCAGGGTGGGCGGTTGGTGGCAGAGCCGGGACTAAGCCCTAGGTCTTGTTTATTCAGTCAGTAAACATCCACTGAGTGTGCCACGAGCCGGCCCTGGTTTAGGAGCTGGGCTGGACACAGGCTGTGGTCTGTTCACTCTCCGGCAGTAAAGGTGGCGTTTCCTTGAGGAATTGACTGCTCCACTTCTAATTGTCGAGGGCTTCTGACCCCATGCCTGTGTTGTAAAACCTCCTAGGTTTGGCCTGGAGGCCAAGCAGGTGTGGCAGTTCTGCAGCCGAGGCACCTGCCACAAAAGTACAGGACGACTCCTTCTTCCAGTGGTTCCTGCTTCTCATTCCTGTGACTGCCTTTGGCCTGGGGACATGGCAGGTAAAGACAGGCTTCTAGCTCTGGTGGCTCTGAGCTTTTGACCTTGTTGCCATCCTCTCGAGTTCGCACTGTTTCCATAGGTCCAGCGTCGAAAGTGGAAGCTGAAGCTGATAGCAGAGCTGGAGTCTAGAGTTGCGGCTGAGCCCATCCCCCTGCCAGTTGAGTGAGTGTGTGGCTGCCCACCTGGGACTGGTCTCACTTGAGGTCAGCAGCAGGGCCTGGCTTCTGCTTGTAGTCCGGACCCTCAGATGGGAGCCTTCAAAATCAGTTGTCCTATTGGCTTCCTGATCACCCTTGGGAAGCTGCCTGACATGCTTAGAAGAGTATCATTGATGCTGAGTTTTACTTTTCTTTCAGATGTGTTGTACCTGAGGGATCCCCCCCAGTGCTTATGGGCCCCTATAGCAGTAATTCTTAACTGGTGCATGAGGGCAGAGTGCACCTTCATGTCATGTCTTGACATGAGAGCATTATCTTGAAAAAGTGCCCTAAGTGATTCTACTGCCTCTACTCATTTTGAGGCACTTAGAGGGATAGATAGGGTCAACAAAGCTTTCCGTTCAGGGGAGCAAACGTGTGCCGTATTTGTGATGTGCAGCCCCGGAAGGGTTTGAAGTTCCTGCCAAACCTTGCTTGGCCGCAGCCTCACTTGTCCCCACTCCCATATAGCCCAATGGAACTGAAAAGTCTGGAGTACAGGCCAGTGAAGGTCAGAGGGCACTTTGACCACTCCAAGGAGCTGTACATGATGCCTCGGACCATGGTGGACCCTGCCCGGGAGGCCCAGGAGGCTGGCCGTCTCTCTTCCTCACCCGAGAGTGGTGCCTACGTCATCACCCCCTTCCACTGCACTGACCTGGGGTGAGTAGAACATGCAGCGAAGCACCAACCTTGGGCAAATCCAAGATACCCAGAAAGGTTCAATTCCTTGGAATTTGTACTTCTGATATTGTTAAGCCAGTTCATTTCACTTCTTACTGAATGATTCCTGTGCGTGGAGCTTTCCGGAGAGGTGAATGAAATCAATCCTCTGGAGTTGTCTCGTGGCCAACACATTAAATGGTTGTGGTGCGGCATGAGGAGGGGCTGGTGAGAGGAAGTCGAGAGAAAGGAAAGGCACCCCCAGCTCTGCCTGGAGGGGGTGGGGTCAGGGAAGGATTCCGAGGGGACTACTTGGGCCACGCCTGGAGTCGGGAGATGGGAAGGGCAATACGGGGAGAGGAAATGACCTGTCCAGCAAGGGGGCATTGCAAGATCAGCTAGAGCAACTTCCCAGCTATAGGTCTGGGAGGGTCTCCCCGCCACCCCAAGAGGATACTGGAGGCAGGTACACAAGGCAGCTGCTGCAGTTAACTGGGTATCTCAACTCCGGCCGTGGGTGAGGCACACAGAGGGAAGCAGAGATGGGGGCTGTTACCAGGGACCCTGGAGGTCTGTCCTCAGAGTTGATGGCCCTGCCAATCAAGACCCGGCCAGGAGAAAGGAGGACCTTCCCCGTGGCACATCTGCAGCTGCCTCCCGGTTTTAAACCCTTCCCACGGACAACCAGTGATAATCTTTATTCCAAAACCCTTCCCCACCTCAGAGAGCATACTTCTGTTACTCCCTTCCGCACCTGAAAGAGCATCCTCCTTTTACTCCAGAATCACCATCCTGGTAAATAGAGGGTTTGTCCCCAGGAAGAAGGTGAATCCTGATACACGGCAGAAAGGCCAGGTAAGGGGTGTGAACCCTCCCTTGTGAGCAGGGCTCTCTAGAAACCAGGCCCTGAAGAGTAATCTCGTTTTCCTTTCTAGATCAAGGGAGAAGTAGACCTAGTTGGGATGGTGAGGCTGACAGAAACTAGGAAGCCCTTTGTCCCAGAGAACAATCCCGAAAGGAACCACTGGCATTACCGGGACCTGGAGGCCATGGCCAGGCTCACGGGCGCAGACCCCATCTTCATTGATGCGGACTTCCGTACGTTGTGACCAGCCCACCCCAGAAGAGCACGTAGCTTTTGCAAACACCTGGTTCTACCTTCCTCTCAGCCCTGACGTTTTCAGTACTTGCTACTGCTTATATTTTAGCGTGTGTGGGAGGACTGTGGATGTCTGCCAGGTACTAAGGGAAGGAGGCAACATGGGGCTGGTTATAGGTTAAAAAAAAAAAAAAAAAAAGGCCCCACTGAATTTTGGCCATGCAAGAGCTCTGGAAGGCCCCAAGGAAACAGCTGGCTAAAGTGCTGTAGGGAGACACACAGTGATTGTGGACACTGAGCCCACTGTCTCTGCAGAGAGCACAGTCCCCGGGGGACCCATTGGAGGGCAAACCCGAGTCACTCTGAGGAATGAGCACATGCAGTACATCATTACCTGGTAAGTCCCAGTCTCTAGCTGCTCCCAAGTCTTCCCCTTCCAAACGCTGACTGTTCTCTTCAACCCAAGGTATGGACTCTGTGCAGCTACATCCTACCTGTGGTTTAAGAAATTCCTACATCGGAGTCCTGGTATGTGAGATTAACTAATGAGCGGAAGGACCACAATAAATCAGGAGTCACGGATTTCCAAGCTTTGTTTTTATATAGGATCAGGTACTATTGGTATGAATAAATCTTACACACCTGTTGTCGTCTGCCTGCCATTCTGCCTGTGCTAGTTAACGGTCTTGATCATAAAATCCAAGCTTTGTCAGCATGTTCAAGTATGATATGCGACTGAGTGGTTGAGGCTGCTTGTTCAGAACAGGTCAATCCACACCTCCTGCCCTGTGCCCAGCACAGACCCTGGGTTTGAAAAACACTTGTCGCCATCCCAAACTGACAGGAGATCAATTATATTCAACCCCAAACGCCAACTGACACTGGCTGAAAGACAACGTTTTATTACTTTTATGTACAGAAAATTCAACAGCATCCACTCAGCCCAGTTTGGTGGCCAGTTCTTTAGCCTTTGCCTTTTCCAGCTTGGCAATGCGAGCCACAGACTTCGGACCCAGGACGTTGCCTCCCCAGTGGCGGCGGATCTGCAACGACAGAGAGGGGTCAGTGTGGCCTCCTCAAGGCTCTCAAAACTAGGTCAGCCCATGTGGTCTTCTACTTGGCTGCTCCAAGTCCTTCGTCAAGTAGGACTGCTCAGGAGGAGCCAGGCCAGCCAGTCCCCTGATGAAAGGTTCAATGTACCCGACAGTGTTTTGTGTCAAGCTGCTGCTTACCTCATCATATCTGTCATTGTAATTGGTCCTGATGGCTTCCACCAGCTTTGCCAGAGCTCCTTTGTCTTCCCTAAAAAGGCAGGGGGGAAATGGGGGTCATTAGCTTCTCGGTTACCTTTCCAGAAAGCAGGGACGGGCTCACTGTTAGCCCCAACCAAGCCCTTTGCCTCAGATACAATATGACCACATGGCTTATTCAGGTGAAGAAATTCGTTAACCATCATTGGCAAAGATTCAGATAAACGTATTCCTTTAAGGTATGGTGTTTGGTCTTTAAGGAAAATCCTGAGGAATTAAGAACTGGGGGAGGGGGTGGCTCACCCCTACTGACTGCTGGGAGTTGGGGGCCACCTTGCATACTTACGAGTTGACCTGTGTGAAGGCGACGCTGGTGCAGGTCTTCCTGTGGACCAGACGCCCCAGCCTGGCCTTCCCCTTGATAATGCAGTAGGGAACCCCCATCTTACGACACAGGGCAGGCAGGAAAACCACCAGCTGGAATACAACATTAGCTCTAGAGTGTATTTTGACCAAAAGCAGGAATGTAAAAGCTAACTCAGTAGCAATTGCTCAGGATTAAAAAGCTCATGTACTCCCACTTCAAGGTTTAATTCAGTAAGAAATCCCCATCATCACAACGGCTATCAACTGGATCACCTGTCAGTACCGTCCTCAACGAAAAGCTATCTCCCCACTTTGGCCTAACACGCCATACTCAACATCTAGCTTTAACTGTCCCGGCACTGACGTCAAGACCCAATCTAACAATCAATGCTTAAAAACGAGGAAGACGGGGGGCGCCTGAGTGGCTCAGTCGGTTAAGCGACTGCCTTCGGCTCAGGTCATGATC